AGGCTGTCCCCGGGCCCACATCCTGGCAGCCTGTCTTGCTCTGGAGCTCCTTCCAGATTTCGAATTCCTTTTTTTGTCACGGACCAGCGAGACCTGGCCAGGAACTGGATTTCCAGGCTCCGGTACCCTGACCCTACAGGGGTCGCTGCGGACGTTTGGGCTAGGGCCCGAATAGCTTGGCGAAGGAGAACCCAACCCATCTTGGTCTCACCCGAATGAGAACGTTGCCCAGCTCGGTGCCAGGGGATAACAGTTTCTCGCCTCGGGCAACGCCTATGCTGACATCTGGGCGGGGAGGGCGTGTGAGCAGGCGTGGGGCGGGATGCTGGGGCGTCGCCCGGACGTGTTCAATCGACGCGACCGCCGCACTCATAAGGCGTCGCACCCTCAGAGCGCGAGCGTGTTCACCGGAAGCTGAGGTCAAAACGAGGGCTGAGAGACAAGCCCCGTCAGGTCCCGGGTCCAGTCAATCCGAGATCGAAGTTTGACACATTGTTTTCAGTTGTGCGGTGGTCGCTTCGGGCAGAACAGTACCGCCACGCCGTGTTCTGGCCCCCCCAGGCTGACATCGAGATTGGGGGACGCGCGGAGGGATGCGGGCTGAGCAGCGCCAGCTGCCACAGGCAACAGCCTCTCGGAACGCATGCGCCCTTCCCACAAACTGCAGCTTGTTGAAGAAATGGTTTCCATGTGTTTGTGCTGACTGCCGGCTGTACGCCACGATCGACCCCAGGAATCCGACTGGTCAGCGTCGGTCGCGGACGCCCAAGTGTTTGGAGAACCTTGCACGCCACTCCAAGAGGGTCTTTCCGCGTCGCGAGGGGCCTCCCAAAGCTGCCCTGGCGACTTTCTGAGCCCGCGACGAGTTTGGCAGTCTGAAAGTTGCACGGAGCTAGGAGTTCTCAGGGCCCAGGTCCCGACCCAGGGCTGGACCTAAACGTTATTGTTGCTGGACTTCGGCTGTGTTTTGTTATTATTTGTGGCAGGGAGGTACAGGAAAACAGGTAGAGTAAAACGAACAGCAAAGCGAAACCAAAACGAATCACAACGTGTAGGTCCAGCCCTGTCCCGACCTGCCTGGCCAGGAGGGTGCTTCTCAGGAGGGACAGGGTGGGCGGAGTCGAGGCTCGCGTTCCCAACCCTCGTCCAGGCCTGGCCAGGCCTGGTCCCAGGGAGACACCCGGTCAATATACTATGGACAGACCCATCGACCAACTAGTTCAAACAGTCCTCCTCTTCCTCCTAATTCTCCTCCTCCTCCAACTCCTCCTCTCCCTCCTCCTCCTCCTCCTCCTCCTCCTCCTCCTCCTCCTCCTCCTCCTCCTCCTCCTCCTCCTCCTCCTCCTCCCTCTTCGCCAGAATCTGGCGTTATGTCTGCTCCCTCCTCGCCTCTGCCCTGCAGCTCCCCGCCGCGCCGCCGCGGCCGCCCGATCGCCGGCGGGCGCCGCCGCGAGGTGAGGACGCTGCTGCTGCACCACAGCGAGGCCGTGCGCACGAGCACTCCGCCGCCGTCGCCGGAACCCGAGCGCCGTCGCCGCCGCCGTCGCCTTCGGCCTTCAGCGGCCTTCGGCGGGCCTCGGCGACCGCGCGGCGGTTTCGCGTCGGCCCTTGGCGACTCTCGGTGGCCCGATGAGACGAGGAGGAGGAGGAGGAGGAGGACGAGGAGGAGGAAAAGGAGGAGGAGGAACAGTAGGAGGAGGAGGACCTGTGTAAGCCCAAGAATCAGCAACGATGTTGAAATAATCCCTCCTTGCAAGTTCCCTCTTCGTCGGCCACCACAACGGTTCATTTCCATTGAAGGAGCTGCTTTTTTGGAAGACAACCGTTTGAAGACCCTGCAGCATGCCAAAACATTGTTTTCGGATCAACCTGACTGTTGCGTGTTGGCATTCCTGAATCGTGCCGGAACGCCATTCTTGGGACTTCAACACAACGTTTCAACATAGATGTTGCACCCGCAGAATCATTAATTTATAAAGCATACATATATACATATATATATATAAATATTCTGGCACGTTGATGATGGGAATCCGCGGAAGTCTTGCAATTTTTAAAACGAGTGTGTGCACCGCTCAGGCGAGAATCACATTTTGAAAAGAACCCGCCCTCAACCCGTGAAGCACCTGCAAATTTTTGAAGCGAATGTGCGCCACGCTGGTGAGAGCCGCTTTTTGAAACACACCCGCCCTCAATCCGTGAAGCTGTTGTAAATATTGAAAACGAATGTGCGCCGCGCTAAAGCGAGAGCCACATTTTGAAAAGGAGCCACCCTCAACCTGTGAAGCTCGTGCAAATGGTTAAGCGAATGTGCGCCGCGCTAAGGCGAAAGCCACATTTTGAAAACCACCCGCCCTCAATCCGTGAAGCTGTTGCACATATTGAAAACAAATGTGCGCCGCGCTCAGGCGAGAGCCACATTTTGAAAAGGAACCGCCCTCGATCCGCGAAGCTCTTGCAATGTTTCAAACGAATGTGCGCCGCGCCAAGGCGAGAGCAA